CTAATAATGCCCTTAATTACTCACATACAAGAAATCCGATACATTTAACTCCTCAGAGCTGAATCTTTGAGCACCAGTTTGTGACAGACTTCTTGAGGTAGAATGTATGAATGCATTGTATGAGAGAAAAGTGTGTATTCTAGCAGTGTGAGAATAAGCAGCAGAGATAAAAGGCTGTGTAGGAAGTGCGAGGATGTGTCTGTGTGTGGGGAAAGTGTGTGTGTGTGTGTGTGTGTGTGTGTGTGTGTTTTCTGGCAGTGAGGGAAATCCTGTTATAATAATTATGCTTAGTCATTCTGAACTAGCTTTTATAATAATGACTTTATGTATCTTCTGTAGTCACTTGCTGTTTTTCTGTTAAGTTGTTGGGTAAATTTTTCCTCTGGGTACATTTTCTCTCATTGGTGGCTGTGTCAGAGGAGTTAACCATAAAGTAGCGATACACACACACACACACACACACACACATACATAAATGTCTGGTAGATATTTATTTATTGTACTTACATATTTTTGTTTATATTTCACACTTGCTTCGCCAAACATGTTTCCCTGGCCAATAAAGCCCTTTTGAATTTAACTCAATTAAACCTCACTGTTAGGGATGAACAATATTGGATTTTTTGCTGATATCTGATATGCCGATATATAAAAACTAATTTTAGTGATCATCAAGTACCTTCTGTTAGGGCTGGACAATTATGGCAAAAATAATAATCAAGATTATTTTGATTGATATTGAAACCGTGATTAATAAACACGATTATTCATTGATTTCAAAACTCCACCAAAACTCAACTTTAAATATAACTTAAAAGAACAGCCAGAAATAAATTACTAACAAGTAAACAAGTAAAAAAAAATAAAAATAATAATAGTAAATTAAAATAATAATAGCAATAAAAACAATAAATAAAAATAAATACTAGGGCTGACCCAAAAAATTCGAAGCTTTGAAGCTTCATTCCATGGCACGGGATTCGATTTTGAAAAAAAAAAATTGAATATTCGGCCTGTTTTTTTCTCTCTGAGTCTGGTGTCAGTGACACATGCTGCTCTGAGTCACGCATCTGTCTGCTTGCGCTGCAGTGCGCGCCGAGGGTTTTCATTTTTAGTGTTAAATCAAAAGTTAAACACTACTTATCAGCAACCAGAAGTGTTTTTCGTTTGTGAATATTTTTATCTCAATTCTAGGGTTGCAAGAAACTACGTTTTCGCCATAATTTGTAAGTTATAAATTTTTTTGGACTTTTTTTTTTCCATTCGTGTTGCCTTGGGGGGCAGACACGACAGCATGACAAACTTTGCAAAAAACTTCCTTTTGCTCAACGTCCGTCAACTTGAAGCCAAAATGTTTCCAGATGACTGAAGTTGTCCTACCTTTCTTCTCAGGCTGCCTTTCTGCCATGTTCTCAATCACTTGCTCCACATATTATTGATCAACACACGTCACACGCTCGCTCCTGCTGCACATAACACAGGTGCATTCACGGTGCTTTTCCAGCACAGGAACTTACATATACGCTGTGCCGTGCGGCGCATTAATTGTTTTTCTTCGATTATAATGTTTTTATGATTGTGAGAAGCCAAAATCGAAATCATGATTAAAATTCGATTAATTGTCCAGCCCTATCTTCTATAGTGGAATTGACCTCATATTATGCATGCATACTCTGGCCCACCAGCAGATGGAGACATGAAATACAATACTTTTCAATATATGTAATATTTATTCATTGTGCAAAATAAGAAAAAGCATTTTGGCCAATTCATTTTAATTTTAAGGCCAATATCGTCCGATGACGTGCCCATATTATTGTGCATCCCTATTCACTATACTAAAAGGCAGTGCGCTTGTGAAACACAACAGAGTGTTCAAAACTGTTTTCATTTGAATAAACGTTTTGCTACATTTTGTCAGGAATGTAGCCTGGGATTCTTCTCCACAGGCAGCCACAGCCAAGTGATTGCTAATATGTGCAGTGTCATGTCGTTCCCTAAGAGTGGGAGATTGAGGTTCCAAAAAGAAAAGAAATACAGAAAGAAAAGGAAAGGAAAAGAAAGCAAACTGACTTTGTAAAACAATTTTTCAAAGTGCATGACAGAGACATGGATCAAGATAGGAGGGGCAGGCAGCCCATAGAGACTACTTTTGCACAGGACCAGAATTTGGTGCTGCGTCCCTGGTAAATGCATATACTGAGTTAACTCATTTTAACAGGCAGTATGTTTACATGACATTAGAGAAAATTAGTATTGTGTTAGTCCGACTTAAACTGGACTTTATCATGCTCCACAGTTTCCATCCCATGCTTTGACCTGTAAGTCAAAAGTCCTGTTTCCACCAAGCAGTACGGTACGGTTCAGTTAGGTTTTTTCCGTTTCCACTACGAAAAGTTGTGGATAGTACCAATGGAACCGTTCCTGACCGTTGCCATTTTTGGTACCCCTTCTACTGGGGTACCTAGCACACAGATCTGGTACTAAAAGGTGGAGCTGTGAACACTGCAGTCCGTTGATTGGTCAATAGCAGATGGTCACTGTGCTCAGGGCTGAGTTCTGTCTGGTTATCAGGGAGAAGCCACTGTTCATATCGTGGAGTGTTTAATTAGTAAACTGTAAATATGTAATGAAAGGATGTTGGAGAAAAAATAACTTGTAATGTTACTCAATGCACGAGCTGACGACGTGACTCAATCAACACACCATAAATATTCCATATGACAACTCTGACCATTACTTTAGTTTTTGTATGACATAAACTTTTAGTAATGAGTGGATCTTCAAGCGTTTATATGTATTAATTTCGGCGGGGTTATGTGAACTGCATATATTATAATCCTCACTCTGAGAAAAAAAAAAGGGTTGCGTAGCATCGGGTCAATGCAACACTAAACCCCTTAGCTTGACTGAGAATGACTAAATGCACAAACTATTTTTAAATATCCCATGGAGAGAGACTCTCACTGCAGCCTGTTTTCTTTTGAGCTATTTTGTTCTGAAAATGTCGGAGTGCAGCCTCATTCTGTGGACGATAAACGCGGTGCAGACTTTCCTGTGTGTCACTGATAATGAGGAAATACAGTGAGTGCTGGACGGAGCAGTGAGTGACAACAACCCCGCCCACATTTAAAGGTACGGTTTGCAGAGGAAACGCTAAGGTCTAGGTATCATGTCTGAAGGGTAGAAAAATTTTGGTGGAAACGGGCTAAATAGCATTAAATGTGTGACAGAAGAAGAAGCCGGTAACAACATGGTGAAATCTACATCCAGAGCCGTGCATTTTTGGAAGAACAAGGAGATGCAGTTCATGCTTTGTCAGCTGAAAGACTTCAGTATTTCAAAAAACATGGATGGGAGTTAAACACAGAATGATGTTTGTTTGATCTGTGACGTTATAGGTCAACCGGAAAAAGGTCCAATACTAACTAGCTGAAAGGGGGCATAACACCATCTATCGTAGCGGAGTTGCCTTGTTGAGCTTTAACCGTTGCTCCACTTAACTGCACATGGAAATGTACTGAGAGTTTCATCTTGAAGGAGGGTCAGACCTCATTCTATCTACATGTTTTATGTGTGAGTTCTGAGGATATCATAAATAAGACATCCTGTAGACAAACAAGCGGACATGGATGAGGAGGTTCAGAACTGCAGATATTTGACGTATAAAGGGTAAAAGCAGAACAATGTTTTCTAAATCAAGACGTGTCAAAACCAGGTCAAAGAAAGGTCAGTCACACCCTGAGGGAAGTCACACACACACACACACACACACACACACACACACACACACACAGCTGTGAGGTTGTTGTTGGCGAGTGTTGATGCAAAGTGCTCCCAAGAACTGCAGATGAGACTTTCAACATCAGTCACATCGGTGTAGTACTGGCAGTGCCTCTTGCAAGCAATTAATAAGCATGTTTTACAGGACTATTGTGTCGACTGGTATTTTACTTAATCTTTTACTGCACTAAAATGTGACGTTATTCAGTATATTCCTTGTCATGGCTAAGGAGGAAGCTTCATCTGTCTTGACAAGCTGTTAACAATAAATCATCTCTGCAAATACCATGTTCCCACTGGAATGAACACACCAAACCGCCACTCCTAGATGACACACACACACACACACACACACACACACACACACACACACACACTGCTACACACAGTCTTAAAATAGAATTAGTTCTGCAAATAAAAATACAACCTCTCCCACAAATTGAAGTCTCAAAACCAAACATGTTCAGTGAACTAATGACGGTAACTTGCAGTAACAGTAACTACAGTAGCTGGATGACCAGTAACTAATGCACTGTTCTGCATGTACATGTACATGCAGAACAGTGCACGTGTGTACATGTTCTGAATGTATTAATAACACACACACGATTTTGAAGTTTCCAATGGACCTTGGACACATAATGCATGATGAACACTTCTGTCAGAAAACAACATATATAAATCCGAGCTTAAAATAGTGATAATTCATCAAAATCACTTTATTCTACATCTCATTTAAAATTTGGCCAAAAATAAAGCGTTTGCATGATCTAACCAGCATGCATGACAAGAGTGAAAAACCAAGGCTTTTTCAACTCCAGGATTTTCATGTTCAGCTTTTAACTTTTAATTTTAAACATCAAAGGGTAAGAATCCAATTAGTAATTTATCGTGGAGGGAGGGACATGCATTTTCCACCCGTCATTCAGGGAGGCTCAAGGAGAGGTATTTGTAGGTTTGGACAGGATCAAAATAAAAACAATGAAGTCACACCCCAGCCACACCCCTCCTCTGATAAATAAATAACAGTTCCTAAATAATTCTAAACTTATTGACCTGATGGTTTTGAATGATGGTAATCATGATGTGCTCCAGGATGAGACTACAGTCTAAAATAATTCTCCAAATCAACATGAATATTTGTAGGATATATGAAAATATGAGTGACATCACAAGCTAAAGGATTAATTTGTTTTTTTTTACCACTGTGTTTCTAGTCATTTACCGTAACATAGCAGTCAAGAGAGCATCATGGGAGGAGCAGTGGTGGACGATGGACCTCCTGGGGTGAAGGCACCAGATGGCGGCTGGGGTTGGGCAGTGTTGGTTGGCTGCTTTGTCATCACTGGCTTCTCCTACGCTTTCCCCAAAGCTGTCAGCGTGTTCTTCAAGGAGCTGATCCGAGAGTTTGACGTCGGCTACAGTGACACTGCCTGGATCTCATCAATACTGCTTGCCATGCTGTATGGCACAGGTAGATAAGGATAGCACACGTCTGAGAGTGATTAACTGTTGGCATGTGTACTGCGTACTGATGGGTTGATTGTGTTTTCATAGGCCCTTTGTGCAGTGTGTTAGTAAACAGGTTTGGCTGTCGGCCAGTGATGATGGTTGGAGGGCTCTTTGCCTCACTGGGAATGATTCTGGCCTCCTTTGCCACCAGCATCATACACATTTACCTCTGTACTGGAGTCATCACAGGTAACACAACATACATGCCCAAGTAGCAATCACGAACATGTGACAAGGACTCAAACATGCATGCATCCATATTCATTCTGTAAAGTCAGACGCTGATTAGTTGCTTCTTGTTTTATAGCTCATTTTCTTTAAATACACAACAACAATATTTATGAGACATAACAAAAGATGTCAGTGAAAAAGGTACCTACATTTCAACCAGCTGCCAACGCTTAAAGGGAAATTTCGGTTTATTTCAACCCGTCTCCTATCGTCCTAAATTTGTTTCAAGTGACTAGTGACATAGAAATAATAGTTAGCATGTTAGCCGTTAGCCTAGATACAGCCGTAGTGTCAGACCTGTTAAAACGTAAGTGAACGGGCATACCTTCAAGTGCAAAGTTAGTTCACTAAACAAGTTTTTTTTCCACAAAGACCGCCTCATATCGTTAGGATAAATGTCAGAGAACATATAGAAAACGACATGTAAACGTGCTGTCTTACCTTACCGGTGTGCTGCCATGTGTGTTTATCCCTCTAGTTCTGCTTTCCAAAGCACAGCCGAAATATATCTCGCCAGCTCTAGATAAAGCCCAGCTGGATACTGACGTTACTCCAGGTGGAGGTGTCTCGTCCTCGGTCACATCCAGACCTTGAAAATAAGGCTGCAACCGCTCCCATTCCTTGCAACAGAGGCATTCCTCTGCTGTGGGCACTGGGGCACAGCATTCACAGGTACACCACCAATCTCCAGAGCTACGCAGCCATTCCTCCCCTCTCGTCCTCTAACGTTACCTGTTGCTCCTCTCTCTCTCCTCCTCCTCCATTCTTCAATTTCACGAAGCTCTTCGTCAGTGTATTCTGGCTCAAATAAATAAGGGCGGCCATCAAACTCTGCAAAATCAAATTCCTCCTCCACAAAGTCGAAGTCTGGCAAAAAGTCAGCCATTATTCTATAAATCTTTCATAAAATAAATGAATGAACTTTTCAGGCAGTAGCCTGAAAAGTTCATTCATCCAGTTCTGCCTTCCAGCTGTTGCTGCTTGTTCTTGAGATATTTCGGCCACGCTTTGGAAAGCAGAGCTAGAGGGATAAACAAACATGGCAGCACACCGGTAAGGTAAGACATCACGTTTACATGTCGTTTTCTATATGTTCTCTGACATTTATCCTAACGATATGAGGCGGTCTTTGTAGAAAAAAAGCTTGTTTAGTGAACTAACTTTGCACTTGAAGGGATGCCCGTTCACTTATGTTTTAACAGGTCTGACACTACGGCTGTATCTAGGCTAACGGCTAACATGCTAACTATTATTTCTATGTCACTGGTCACTTGAAACAAATTTAGGACGATAGGAGACGGTTTGAAATAAACCGAAATTTCCCTTTAATATGGTCAGTTGCTCTGTTCATTCCTCAAAGACTGGTCCACAGCAGCACATCCTGACAACTACTCTATAAAGTTGCCATTCAAATGTGCTGTGGATGTTCTTGCTTCACAAAGAACAATAATGGATCTTTTAGTGACTCCTTGACCTTTCCTCCAGTGCCACTATGTGGGCAAAATCATCAGTACCAAAAAAATATCCAAACTGATGGCCAGATTGCCATGTGACCTCAATAAGCAAATTCCTGCTCCTCAGGGAGTGAACCATAGCCCTCTCAGCATTACTTTAGTGCCACCCCCAGGTCACAGTGGGCCTCATGCAGGAACATTCTCCTAAATTTCTCTTGTATGTTCTCTTAATTTCCTGTTAAAAGAAAAAATGAGAAAAGTCAACTCCAGATGCACCAAACATTCTTAATCATCCAAATTTGCTCTTACCCATTTTTCAAAAAAATTTAATCTGGATCAGAGTGATTGAGTAGAAGATGAACAGATCACAGTAATGTAACAATATAATCATTAGGAAAAGCCAGGTGGTGCAAATTTCAAAGCTTTATAAATGCTCTGACTCCTGAAACCTTGTACCAACAATCAGCAGCTGCTCTAAATAGCTGGCTAGCACTCTGCACTAGTAAAAGTATTAATTTTAAAAAAAATTTTAATTTTAAATTAATCTAATCTAATCTAATATAATTAATAAAATAATTAAAAGGAAAAGCAGCAAGTCCTCATATTTGAGGAGCTGGAACTATGAAATGTTTTTGCATGAAAAATGACAGACATAATAGTTGCCAATTAATTTTATAATCAGCTGACTAATCATTTCAGCTGCACCTGTATATTTGCATACTGTCTGTGTGCAAATATCTTACATTTGTTAAGCAACAAGTAACTAAAGTAATCAAATAATTGTAGTAGAGTAAAAAGTAAAATATTTCCATCTGAAGTTTAGTGGAGAAGTGAATTAGCATGAGATTTATAAATACTCAAGTAAAGTATAAATACATCAAATCTGTAATTTAATATAGAACTTATAGAAGAATTTACTCTGTTAAATTTGTTTATATATGGCTTCCTGCATGAGCCGCAATGATCTAATATGCAGATTATCATGGACTCTTCTGAGCACATTCATGCTGTCAAGTTGAAATATGTGTTTGATTTTAATGTCAATATCATTTTTTTAACCTCACTCTTAGATGAACTACATTCCAGCCTTACTAGTGATAAGACTCTAGGAATAGCAACATTCCCCATGTAGTCCTTGTAGATACTTCACTTGCAGAGAGGCAGTCACACTCTTCTTTTCCATGAAGAACCATAACCTTTTACCTATGGATGGGTATTGAACCTCAATAGTTTTTTGGCACAGTTTGAAATGGAGTATTAAAAGGATTTTTTCTGTAATATATTGTTTTTATGTAACAGTGGTGGAATCAATGCAATTTCAATTTTATTCATGAAGCCCAATAGCACAAGTAACAATTTGCCTCAGAGGGCTTTACAGCATTCTACATCCCTATGTTCTCTGTCCCTCGCCATGAGCCAGCCCTAACTGTACGTGGTCTTGAGTATACTCTTAAATGTGCACTGTAAATAATTTCACTGTAAAATAATAGTAAAGAGCTGGCAGCACAAACGCCAGCAATATACTGTAATTTCACAATATACAGTAAAATAGTAGCAGCACAAATGCCAGCGCTATATCCATACTTTTTAACATTTTCACAGTCTATTACCGTAAAAATGAAATGGTGCATATTTCTGTGATTATTTGGATTTACAGTAACATTCTGTTTAGGGTGTTACTTGAAATCCTAACAGTTTACTGTAGACAGGCACAGTTGGTAATGCAATAACTACCTTTAGCAATTTAAACATTCTCTAAAATAATCAATCTTCAGTGCAATTCACATTACAACTGTATTATTCTGTGGGCTACAGACATCTGCTGATATGCATTTCTATAACTATTATGCGTAATAAGCAATAAAAACTTAGAAATCAAAATGAAATACCTTTATTTACAAGGGCAGTGTCAACAAGAGAAACGAGCCCATGAGACTTTCTAAAGCAGACAAAAACAGCTTACTGCTACTAGCCTCTTACTAGTGTCTGTGTGTGAACTATGGTGAAAAACTAAAATTCTTAGATTCATCTTGTCAGAGACTTCCCCCAATCCCTTACCAAACATGACAACACCTGAGATTGGAGCCTCATTGACATTTGTTTTTTTTTTGGGGGGCAAATGTCGATATTAGGAAGTAAAAATTCCAATATTAGAATGTCTATATATTAACAAGTATGTCATTCCTCAGATGCAGACCATAAAATTAACGTTACCAAAATGAATCAGGGAAAAAAAAGGCCCATAAATATAGACTGACTGTTTGAGCTATTCAAATCTCCATCTCACTGATAAATGACAACACCCAGTTTCCAAAAAATACTTACTGTGTGGGGCCTTGGTCCTGTTTCTTCAAGTGGAGCAGTCTACAATGCATTGCCAACTCAAGTACCAATACATTTTACACACAGCATTTTAGTGTTGAAGACTGGCTGTAAATAAACAACAGTTGCTCACTGATTATCAGGTGATAGAGAGAATGCCAAGGGCAATTTGGGCTTATAATACAAAACAACAACAAAGACTGATGAGAACACATCTTTGTTCCACAGGGTTCTGCAAAGCTAATTATTTCTGTAACACTGCCTGTCTCTCTCCTCAGGTCTTGGTCTGGCGTTAAACTTCCAACCGTCTCTTATAATGCTGAACCGCTACTTCAGTGAGAAACGTCCTCTAGCCAATGGCTTGGCAGCAGCGGGTAGTCCTGTGGCACTGTGCTGTCTCTCCCCACTGGGACAGGTTCTCCAGTACCAGTATGGCTGGAGGGGTGGGTTCCTCATACTGGGAGGCATACTGCTTAACTGCTGTGCCTGTGGTTCCCTCATGAGGCCCCTGTTGCCCCCTAAGAGGGCTCAAGAGCTGGAGAATGGCTCTCCCATAGCTGCTGAGGAGAAGAAGCTCCAGCCAAAGAGGAAACTGTTGGATTTTAGTGTGTTCAGTGACAGAGGTTTTGTCATCTATACCCTTGCTGCATCTGTTATGGTGCTGGGCTTGTTTGTGCCCCCTGTGTTTGTGGTCAGCTATGCTAAAAGCCTTGGCTATGAAGACACTAAGTCTGCACTGCTGCTCACCATCTTGGGATTTGTTGATATGTTTGCTCGGCCTGCATCAGGACTCATAGCAGGCATGAAGTGGGTACGACCCAGAAGTGTCTACCTGTTCAGCTTTGCTATGATCTTCAACGGGTGCACCGACCTCATAGGATCACAGGTAACATTTTTTTTTTTTTTTTTTTTTGTTAAAATTTAAAACAGGGACAGTACATATTGATGAACATTAAATGTAAATATGTAGGATTGTAGCCAATGCTTAATTTCCATCCTCAGTCCCTTGGCAGGTTGATGTTTAACTAATCAAAAAACAAAACAAAAACAAAAAACATAAACAAAACAACAATGACAAATAAACAAACATATAGCGAACAGTAATACAGACACAATAGACCAAGAATTGGGGGACCAGTTGAAAGTGTAAAAGTGCTTGTGTGCTAAGTTAAATTAGTTAATAAGTTAGTGGAGTTGTAGGTTCTATCACAACAAGAATGGAGAGGCACATATATCCATGTATAGGGGATTTGCAGTTAGGGACATTTTATTTTTCATAAGGGGGTATTGCAAAAAGGAGAAGGCATGTCAAATAATTTTTAAGCACTCAGGAGGGACATATGTTTTTTTATTTTGGCTTAGAGGAGGGGCAGACAAATTTAACTGGCTGTATTTATGCCTCTGCACCAGCGATAGCTGTAGTCAGAGGCATTATGGTTTTTGGTTGTCTATCCATCCATCCATCCATCCATCCATCCATCCCAGTCTTGTGAAAACAATATCTCAAGACCACCTTAAGGGAACTTCTTCGAATTTGACATAAACTTTCACATGGACTCAGCGATGAACTAATATGATACTTGTGGCCATAGGTCAAAGCTCACTGTGACCTTGCGTCAGTTTCATTTTTAAAATTTAAGTGGTTGTATTTGTATATATTTTACCATAGATTTTTGAAGAAAACATGTTTGAAAGGCATGGTTCCCAGAAATTTCACAGTTTATCAAAGCCAGAAGCTGTGAAAAGAGATATTATTCTTGAATTTTCAGTTTTTGACAATCCTTCGACACATCATTTGCAAACGCTTCTGTCAAAACAGAACCAACCAAATCTGATCTTAAAATGGTGATATTTCATCAAAATCCCTTTATTCCACATCTCATTTAAAATTTGGATAAAAATAAACAGTTTGCACAAACTAACCAGCATGCATAACAGGAGTGAAAAACAGGCGTTTTTTTTCAACTCCAGGTTTTTGTCTTCAACATTTAACTTTTAACTGTCAAATATCAAAAGGTAAGTTTTTAAAATCTTATGACTAATTTATGGTGGAGGGAGGGTCATGAATTTTCCACCAGTAACTCAGGGAGGCTGAAGGAAAAATATTAGTAGCTTCGGGCAGGGTCAAAATTTAAAAAAAGGAAGTCACACCCCAGCCACCCACCTCCTCTGAGGGGTAAAGAACAGTCCCTTACTTCACCAATTTACTTGAAACCACATAAACTGGACATAACTAGCTCCTACAGGAAAACAACAGGTAAGATTAGACTGATTGTATAGTTAGGCTCAGTCACTGTATGTCTGATTAATAAGGTTTGTCCTCTATAAACTGGTCATCATGTCATCTCCTGTTTCTCTCCTTACAGGCGACTGATTATTCAGGTCTGGTGGTCTTCTGTATCTTCTTTGGCATGTCATATGGCATGGTGGGAGCACTACAGTTTGAGGTCCTCATGGCTATCGTAGGGACAGAGAAGTTCTCCAGCGCCATCGGTCTGGTGCTGCTGATGGAAGCTATTGCTGTACTGGTGGGACCTCCTGGAGCAGGTCAGAACAAGAGAGGGCTGAATGTGAATGTGTGAGACTTGTAATACTTAAAGCTCATAATTTTCAATTTTATAATACACACTACTGCTCAAAAGTTTGGGATCACTGGGAAATGTTCTTGTTTTCCATGGAAACAGTAAGTAAGTAAGTAAGTAAGTAAGTAAACTTTATTCATATAGCACTTTTCACAGGTAAAAACCACTAAGTGCTTCACAAAAGTCAAAACAATAACAAAGAAAACAAAACACAAAGTATAAACATAAATGCAAAGATGCATAGATATGAGAAAAAAAAAAACAAACACAATTAACCAAATGCCAGTTTAAATAGAAGAGTCTTTAAATGCATTTTAAAAGTATCAACAGAGTTTAAACAGCGTAGTGAGAAAGGCAAAGCATTCCACAGTCTAGGAGCTACTGCTTGAAATGATCTGTCACCTCTGGTCCTAAAGCGTGTGTGAGGAACAACTAGCAGCCGTTGGTCACATGACCTCAGACTGCGGGTGGGAGTGTACGGCTGTATAAAATCAGACAGGTAAGAAGGAGCTTGTCCCTGCAAGGCTCTAAAAGTGAGAACTAAAATTAGGTTAAAAGCCTTGCAGCAGAGTTCTAAACAGCCTGGAGACGGTCAAGCTCTTTCTTATTAAAACAAGTAAAAAGACTGTTACAATAATCTAAACGAAACGAAATAAAAGCATGAATAATCATTTCCAGTTCAGCCTTTGACACCAGTGTTCTTATTTTGGAAATGTTCCTCAGATGGAAGAAGCAATTTTTTGTTACTAGTTTTGACTGATGCTCCAAGGACATCGTTGAATCAAAAATAACACCTAAGTTCCTCATCTTTGGCAGGACAGACGAGCCTAGAGCACCAATATGCTGCTTAATCTGGGGGATAATGCTATCGGGGGCGATAATTAATGTTTCCGTCTTGTCTGAGTTCAGCTGTAGGTAGTTGTCACTTAACCACTGTTGGATGCTAGTCAGGCAGTTGATTAAGGAAGACAGTTTGTGGAGCTCAGTGGCCTTGAATGAGCAGTACAGCTGGATGTCATCAGCACAGAGATGATATGAAACTTTGCTAAATTGTCTAATTAACTGTCCAAGGGGAAGTAAGTATAAAAGGAACAGAATAGGTCCTAGGACAGAGTCCTGAGGTACCCCACATGACAGCCCTGACATGATTTCAGACATGATTTGGTTTGCAGAAACACTAAAACTTCTGTCAAAAAGGTAAGAGGAAAACCACTTTAAAACCGAACCAGAGATCCCAACCAGATCCTGGAGTCTATTAATCAAAATATTATGGTCGACCGTGTCAAAAGCTGATGAAAGGTCTAACAGAACCAAAACTGTGTGTTTACCAGAATCAGCTGACATCAAGATGTCACTGGAGACTTTAAGTAGTGCTGTTTCAGTGGAGTGCTTGTTGTGAAAACCAGACTGAAATATGTCCAAGACCTCATGATTCTCTAAAAACACTGTGAGTTGCTCTGCTACAACTTTTTCTAAAATTTTTGATATGTATGGCAATTTGGAAATTGGCCTATAATTTTTTGGGCTGTAATGGATCCAGACTGGGCTTTTTGAGTGTAGGTTCCACAACAGTATGTTTAAAAAAGCTAGAAACCACACCAGTTAAAAGCGAGGTATTAATTATCTCCGTGATACGGGGGCCAGTTGAGTCAAAGACTTTTTTAAATAGTGCAGTAGGGAGAACATCAGTAGGGCATAAGGTGGGTTTCATTTTGTCCAGCAGAGCAGTGACATCATGTAATGACACAGGTTTAAAGGAGGACCAAATATGAGTTGGAGACAGATAGAGACAGTGTTGAGAACAGTTGATGGAGAAATGCTAGAAACACACATGAAATTAGTCTGAATAGGAAATATAGCAAATGAACAAGCCATGCTGACACTGTCAGAGTTAGAAAAAAAAACACCTTTTACAACAATTACAGCCTGGCAGACCTTAGGCATTCTAGCTGTCAATTTTTCAAGGTAATCTGATGAGATTTCACCCCATGCTTCCTGGAGCATCTCCCACAAGATGGATTGGCTTGATGGAGTCCTCCTCCATATGATATGGTCAAGCTGCTCCAACAACAGCTCAATAGGGTTCAGATCTGGACACTGTGCTGGCCACTCCATTACAGTCAGAATTCTGGCTGACTGCTTATTCTTTAAATATTGCTGAGACATTTTGAAGGTGTGTTTTGGGTCATTATCCTGTTGTAGGATGAAATTGGTCCCAATTAAGTGCTGTCCACAGGATATGGCATGGCCAAAATCTTGTGATAGCTTTCCTTAATTAAGGTCCTTCCACTCTGAACAAATCTCCTATTTTACCATCTCCAAAGCACCCCCAGACCATCACGCTGCCTCCACCAGGCTTGGCTGATGGTATTAAGCACAGTTCTTAAATCTTCTCATTTATTCTGCGTCTCACAAATGTTCTTCTGATTGATCCGAAGACCACAAACTTGAACTTATCTGTCCACAACACCTTCTTCCAGTCTTCCAGTGTCCAATGTCTGTGCTCTTTTGCCCATCTCAGTCTTTTCTTTTCACTGACCAGTCTGAGATATGGCTTTTTCTTGGCAATTCTGCCATGAAGTCTAGCATCCTGAAGTCACTTCTTCACTGTTGATACTGACACTGGTGTTTGATGGGTACTATTTAGTGCAGCTGCCAGTTGAGGATACTGTGAGGCGTCTTTGTCTTAAGCTACACACTCTCAGATATTTGTCTTCTTGCACAGTTGTGTATCAGGGCCTTCCACTCCTTTTTCTGTCCTTGTTAGAGCCAGTTTGTGGTGCTCTCTGAAGGGAGTAGTTAATGGCATGGTAAGAGATTTTAAGTTTTCTCGCAATTTCTCTCATTGAATAGCCTTCCTTTCTAAGCACAGCAATAGACTGACGGGTCTCTAAAGGAAGTTCTTTCTTTCTGGCCATTTTGAGCCTGTAAACAAACAAACAACTGCTAATACTTAAGATACTAAACTAACCTAGATGCCACGTTCCCTTTTTGGTTCCCTTATTAGTACAACTGTTTTCAGCTGTGCAACACAATTGCAAGAGGGCTTTCTCATAATCAATTAGCCTTATAAAATGATTAACTTGGATTAGCAGCCATACCAGGAGATTGATGCAGAGGACTGACAGTTGCTTTTAATAGGCCTCTATGCAAAAATGTAGATCATTCTTTAAAAATCATCTGATTAAGTTTAATTGTTTGTGGAATGCATAAAATTGTTTGTGAAATGGAGGAAAATGTTTGTGAATTGCATGAAAATGTGTTTTTTATTTGGTAAACAAAGAAATTTGCAAGTGAGCCCATACATTTGAGTGGTAGTGTGTGTATACATACATATATATATATATATATATATATATGTTTTACATGGTGGCACCATTTGTTGGGACTTAAGTCTTAACACGGGCCTGACCTCGTAATAGATCTCCAATTAAAGTATCAAATTGGCTATCTGAAATAATTAATAGCTATTAATAAAAGTAATTTGTTATTTTAAATAATGTGACTTAATTTGCATTAAATCACCTCTTGGGGCACCATTCCCGAAAAAGGGAAAATGACAGCCAGTTAAAGATATCAGTCTCAAAAGATTCACTAAACTATCAATTTGGAATTTTGATTAATAATTAAATTAATATCAATAAGCAAATTTAATAGTCTTGATGATGCAATGAGCATTATTGAGAGGTTTGTCATACTTCTCTTTGACAGAACCAGCACCTGCACCAAGGTAGATGACGCAAGAAGGAAGCTCTTTCCACGGAAAAACTCAGTACAGCAGTGCTGGTTCTGTCAAAGAGAAGTATGACAAACCTCTCAATAATGCTCATTGCATCATCTGGGATCTCCATTGGTCCACTTGCCAGCGTCAGTAGTGCATCTGTCAGTTTTGGCAGTGACTTCCATGTTGACCATGCTGCCTTCTTTCCATGTCCAACAAAGCTGGATACAGTGTCACAGCCTGTCAAAGCCTGTCAAAGCATGGAACATTGGAAGGGCACATGACATCTCTGGTCCGAGACATGCAGCCATTTGGTGGGCTGCAAGATAGCGAAAGCTCTTGCCTGTTCCGAATGAAACATATTTTTCACTTTAACTGGTCTCTAAATTATATTTGTGGTGCTGAAAACATGGTAACAGTAGCTTGGGGGGGTGACCAAAGTGTTCTATTCCAGTATATTAAAGGGATAGTGCACCCAAAAATGAAAATTCAGCCATTATCTACTCACCCATATGCCGATGGAGGCCCTGGTGAAGTTTTAGAGTCCTCACATCCCTTGTGGAGATTGGCGGGGGGAGCAGCTAGCACACCTAATGGCAGACGGCGCCCCAGACTAACGTCCAAGAACACAAAATTGAATCCACAAAGTATCTCCATACTGCTCATCCATAGTGATCCAAGTGTGCTGCAGCCCCGACATAAAAAGTTGTTTCTAAAAATGTCATATGAACTCTGTTTTTAGCCTCATTGTAGCCTGTAGCTCTGACTGCTTCTCTGTGCTCCGCGTTCACATGTGCGCGTTTGCGCGAGACCAGCGAAAGCACAAGCTTTGCTCACCCATGTTTACATCACGTGACACGTGCACCGCAGGGGGAGACAGCAGTAACCACAGAGCTAAAAGATAATTTGCACTATGGTCTTTTAGCAAAGGACAGCCCAACATGTCTGAAGACTTTGAAATTGAGGAGGAACAGCATTTCTTTGTTGAGCCGCATTTGTTTGAGCCCGAGTATACGGATGGAACTCAGGCTACTGGACAAAGCAGCCGCCGCAGCTCATTAGCCTAACTCTCAGCCAGCCTCATAATACTGGAGTCGAGCACTGGAAATCTGGTGGTGTAGTTGTTTCAAATGCAAAGCAATGCCAACGGATGAGGAAAGTCTTTGCTGCTCAGACTGGGAATTGACAATGCCTGCACTTGAGAATGTGCACATCAGTACTGACGAGGCTGCTGCTCTTCAGAG